ACACACACAGAGTAATAAAATTTAACTACAAAGAGCTAATAATAACTAAAATTATCAAACTCTTTATAACTTTTTACTGGCCAATAGTTTCTTAGCTATGATACCACAAACACAAAGCAGCCAAAACCACTGTTCAGTGAACTTCATCCAAATGAAAAGGGTTGTGATTTAAAGACATTATCAGAGTGGAAAACTTAATAAGTCATATTTAAGATAAAGGAATTGTACTTTATCCTAAATGCATTGAAGAACTCTTAAAGTCAATAATGAAGAGGCACTCTAATTGAAAGGGTGGTAACCACATCATGGGATAGGATGGGATACTGAGGAGGTAAGGCTGACTGGCTGTTGGCACCTGGAGTCCATACTTGAGCCCATGCTCTGGGCCTGTCTGTTTTGACAAAAGCACAGGACCAGTGCCAGACAATGCAGTGTCACACAGAGCAGTCTCCTCCCCTTAATGTCCATAGTGCTCCACCTTCTCCTCTCTCTGAAGCCATGGGATCTTTCTCCATGGTTCTTTCTGCCTTTTCCAGACTGTCACACAGAAGTACCCAGCATGCAGCCTTTTCAAATTGATTCCTCTTGTTAGTAATTCACATTTAAGGCTCCTGGAATCTTAAATGACTCCGTGAAACCTTTCATAGATTCATAAGTTTCTCTGTTACTGAATAATACTGCATTGTATGGATGCTTTAGTCCATTCATAAGACTAAAAAGCAAATCATTAAATTTGTACGTGAAATGAATTTATGATACATGAATTATCTTTCAATGAAGCTGTGATTAAAACAACATGGGGGCAGACTACATGGCTTGACCAGTCAGGTGCCTGAATTCCATCCTTGGAACCCACGTGAAGGATGGAGAGAACTTTCCACTCTATTAGTGTATAGTGGCATGTGCACATCCCTCTTCTACACTAATGCAGTAACTTAAGTAAAATGAATAGTAGAAAGTGAAGAATCAAGGCAGTACACTAAGCTGGAATAGTGTCATGTCTGTTGTCATCCTGTACTCGGGAGGTGGAGGCAGAAGGCTCAGGAGTTTAAAGTCATCCTCAGCTATACAGGGAAGAAGAAAGAAAAGGTACATGGGCTAGGAACACTGCTTAGCAGAGCATCTGTTTAGCATGCACAAAGTTCTCATCCCCATTACGGGATGTATAAACACAGAAACTTATGAGAACAAATGCTATGGCTAGAAGAACCCTACCTGTCCTAATTAGGAGATTTAAAATCCAAGAATTTCCCTGGGTCTGGAGTTACAGACAGTTATAAGTCACCCTTTGGGTATTAGAAACTGAACCCAGGAGCTCTGGCTGAGCAGCCAGTGCTCTTAACCACTTGAACCATCTCTCCTATAAGGTTTCTGGGTCCAGAGAACAAGTGATCCATTTCACAGGTCACCTCAGGTGGCTTACAGGAAGAGGCAGAAATTTACTGCTATGCTCAATATCCACTTTGACCAAATACTGTAAAACTCTATTTTGCCATCTTTTATGCATGTATCCACATTCAAATGTTCTAGCGGTTCTTGGTTGGTTGGTTTGCCTTTTGAGATTGCCCATGCTGACCGAAATTCACTGTGTAGCCCAGAATAGCCTTGAACTCACAACATTCCTTCTGTCTCAGCTTCCCAAGTGCTAGAATCACATCTCTGACTATAATGCTATATTTTTAGGCGACTCGTTAAAGATCAGTGGTTAAGAGAAGTGGTGTCCGAGCTCAAACAAGAGAGGGGCCTTACTTCACCTTTCCCTAGGAAACACACAGCACGTGCCAGTTAAAGGAGACAGCTGTGCCTAGCCACTGCCCTTCCCCACCTTCAAGAAATGGCAAGAGAGTGTCTCTCTCTGGGGCTCCGAGAGACTTCCCTCACTGTGTGGCTTAGAACTTTTTTTTTTTTTTTTTTTTTTTTTTTTAAACAAGAGTTTCAGAAAGCAAGAGAATGTAACCACATCTTCCTGTTGCTAACCTTTCTGCCGGTTTCGCCTATCAGGAGAAAGAAGAAAATGCAGGCATCTCTAACTCCCACGGCTCCCTTTCCACCTCAGGTCTACCCTGGGGCCACACACAGCTATTCCGTTTGACCCTGTAGTACTGTACAGTTCATACCGTGTGGACCTTACCAATGCCTGCCTGCCTGGGTCCAGTGGTCTACACTTACTGTGTGTGCTTCTCTGTGTGAACTTCTTCCACAGTGGACATGGTTTGTCGTCTGCCCTATCACTCTGCTGAAACTGCTCTTGGTGAGTGTTGGACTGTGCAATACTCTGTAGAGGTCTTTAGCCAGTTTTCAGATGGGCAACAACACATCTGTTCTAGAATATTTCAGCTTATTCATTCGTTAAACATAAAATTAAAAATAAAAAACAAGAACCTCTGTGATTTAAAATAAGGTATCTCTATTTTCTTTCAAGACTGCAGGTCAAAAAGAGGTTTTAAAACAGAACAAAACTTCTTCCTGGTGGAAGATGCACAGGAAGACTTGAAAGTGACCTTTGCCACACATTTTATGTCCCATCATGCGTCTCTCGTCCAGTCTGGGGTACAGTTAGGGATACTGTCTAGTTCGAGTATAAACATGGCTACAAATTTCACTTAGGAATGGCTATAACAAGGATGTCAGAATCCACAGATGTTTCTTCTTGGTAATATGACACAGTCGTGTTTGCTGAGTACTGACTGTGTGTGAGAGTCAGTACTAACCACTCGTAGGTACCATCTCAAACCCTACCTGAGCAAGCCTCCACCAAACGGACTGGCCTTATTTAAAAAACTAGGTAGAAGCTCAGCAACCTAGCTAGTTTTTCTTTCCTATCTAACCTAATAGGACTCTAGGAAATCAGTATTTGAGTCTTATTGCTCAGCGCTTTCCCAAGCCCCCCATCCTAGGTGTTCAATCTAGCAGCTAGATTCTAGCTTAAGATCTATTTTTTTTTCCCCCTAACTGCAACAATGTCTTCGATGGCTGATGAACACACCTGGGGCACATTAGTCAATGAAGCTTGAGTACATGAGGCAATCTCAATGTCACTGTTTCAAACAATCACTATTACCTAGCATTTTAAGTTATACTACTAAATCAGTTTTATATTTAAATAAAATTGCCCCTAGCCCCACTGCCATGTGCTAGTTTCAGAAATAACCTCCATGGAGTTGGGGATGTAACTTAGTTGGTAGTGTGCTTACACAAAGCCCTAGGTTCAATCCCCCGCACCACATACACCCAGATATGGTAACACAAGCTTGCAGTCCCATCTCTTGAGAGGTGGAGGAGGGTCAGAACTTCAAGGTTGTCCTTCATAGAAAACTGGGAGACCAGCCTGGGCTACAAGACTCTTTTTCTAAAAACAAACACCCCCCTCAAAAACAAACAAAAATCGTATGCGACTTTGTTTTTGGTAATTAACTTAAAAACTGTTGTGGATTTTTGTTTGAAATTATCGGAGACCTTAAAAAAGCTGTTAAATATGTCAAAGGTCTGGAAAAAAAAATACAACCAGAAATTACATCCAGTGAAAACTCTCTAGTTGAGAAAGATGAATACTACAGTCCTTCAGCATCCTTGAGATTATTTTCTGGGAAAGATAATATTGTTTACAGACTTCATTTCAGAATCAACACCAAAAGACCAAGGTAGCAAAGACTGGAAAAATATTTTCTGGAAAACTTTCAGAACTCTCCCTTTCTATTTTGAAAATACCACTTCCTGTCAGAGGAGGGGTTTGTTATTTCATAAGTCATTGGTTCTTCTAGGTGTGTCCAGGAGGCAGATTACAGTACTGGGCTCTCCCTTCTACCACTCTTTTCAGAGCCTTCCGCATAAAAAGGAAACGCTACTAAAGAATAAACCAGCCCAGATAAACTGGAAACACACCCCCACCTGTCTGAGTATAAGTGAAACAAACAAACAAAAATTTAATAAAAGCAACAGAATTATGTTTTTATACGGTGGAAAAAAGAGGGGGGGAGGTCCTAGAGGGAAAGCTCTCCTAAGGGATAGAACATGCTATGAAACATTAGACTCCGGAAAGCATAGGGAAGAAAGCTTTAAATATTGACAGGATGTATGCCAGACATGAGGTTCCCACTGGACATGCCAGCCCTTGGCAGGTGGAGAAGGCAGGAGGGTCAGCCGAGGACCACCATCTCCCCGCTACTGAGAGAGTTTGAGGCTAGCCTGGGCTACACAGACCTGGCTCCACAAAGACAAATTTAAAAGTTTGATTCCTTAAAATAAAAGGTTCAACTCCCAGACATCATAAAACATTAATAAGGGACTCTCTGACCACTCCTATCTTTATGAAGTGAGAAGATAGAACCATCTATTAGTTAACCCATAAGGAGAACTATTTTATAGTCATACAAGTGTGCTTGAGATTAAAACGTAGCTGGGGACGGGACACTAAGTTGAATTTAAAAGGGGGGAATGCTGTTTTTCTTAAAGATTTCCAGAGGTTTGATTACAGGCTCGGGCCAGATAGCAACAGGAGCTAAGCTCGGTTCCAGCCAATCACAGGAAAATAGCTCGGGTGGGGGTGGGGGGCTGAACTGATTATATGAATGGAGCATTGAGTGAGCGAGGCTGAGGGAAGGAGGGAAAGCCATCAAGGGTGATTATGTCGAGTTCAGGATGCACTAATTAATCTCTCCCAACTGGAAAACGCTGGGAGGGGGCAAGACGGGGCAACCAGAAAAAAAGAGCACGGTAGTTTCTTCGCTTATTTCGACCTGCAGGTCAGGGCTTGCACTCCTTAGAACCCCTCGCACACACGGTTACCCCGGGAGCGAAAAATCTGCAAGGGCGAGGGCCCCTGCTAGAAAACTGCAGCCCGGTGCTCCCCAATGTCCTGGCGGGGTGCCAGGGCCCCGAGGCACACGGGTATCTCTGGCAGGTGTTTCACGAGTGCTCGCGTGGACTTCTGAACTGAGCCTGGGCGGCGGGACTACGTGCGGCGGCGACAAGCAGGCGGCGGCGGCCAGCCCAGGACTTACCTTGCTGTCATCCATCTCCGCAGACAGGCCGGCCCGGCCCGGCCCGGCGCCCTCCCGGCCCTCCCCCGCCTCAGCCGGCCAGGCCCGGCCCCCGCCCTGGGGAAGAAGGGGATATGGCTCTGACTGCCGCCTCCTCCTCCTCCGCCTAACAGTTCCCTGAAGCCACGGTCACGGGGACCCGGACCAGTTCAGGAATGGCAGAGCGGACCCTGGAGGCTGCCCCAGGCACCTCCCCGCTCGGCCACCGCCTCCTTCACCCGCCCCATGACAGGCCCCCGGCGTGTTTACAGACGTGCTGGCTGGCCGCCCAAGCCGAGGGGGCGGGGCTGTGCAGCCGAATTGGCCCCTCCGGCCGCCATAGCACGGCGGCATTCTGGGAGTTGTAGTTTTACCTCTCGTCGTCTCTGAGCGGCCGACTGTAAAGGGAACTACGACGCCCAGGCATCCTCTGCCGGCTGGGCTGTTTTCCTTAGGCCTAGGAGTGCCCTGGAGGCGGGTCTGGACCAAGACGGAACTATTTCCCCGGAACGCTTAGTCTTAGTAATGTTTTGGTCGTGGTGGGATGGGACGTTGCCGAGACTGTTCGAGGCCCTGCCGAGGCCGAGCAGGAGGTGGAGAACTGGAAACAGGCCCTCTTCTGGGAAACTAGGGCAAATGCTTCCTCTGCTTCCCGCGCCAGCCCACGGTAAAGTGGGGCAGCAGCTTTGGGAAGCAATCAGGCAGTTCGGAACATTAAACACAAGAGCTAGTTGCCGTATAACCACTTCTAGGTATGCGGTTAAAGGAAACGAAGGCACATAACCACTCAAAAGCGTGTGCACAAATGTTCTCAAATGTACTCAAAAAGCTTGGGCAGCCGGGCATGGTGGCAAAGCCTTTTCATTCCAGCACTCAGGAGGCAGAGGCAGCGAGTTCCAAGACACCCAGGGAATCAAAGTGAGGCCTGTCTTTAAAAAAACAAAAACAAGCAAGCAAACAAACAAACAAAAAAAAAAAAACCCAAACCAAAACAGAAAACAAAAAACCAGAGAAACAGGTACACTCTACTATACGAATAAGCTAAGTTTTGAATTAAATATTAGGAGCTAGACACTAACAGAAATGTCCAGCATTGGTACAACTAAAGAGAAAAGTCAGTCAGTTGCCAAACGCTGAGTCTGAGGAATGTCAGGGAAGAAGGAGAGGAATTCTGGTTTCTTTTTGCAGTAATGAAAACATTCTGAACAATTTTGGTGATGTCTGCACGGCCATGTGAATAAGCTAAAAGGTTATTGAGCATTTTGGTCAAGTTATGAAGAGAACACCTGGATGTCTCGATGCAACGAAGCCACTTTGTTAATGGTTATTTCAGCCTCTCCTGGGCTTTGTGATTTTTAATCTGTTACTTCTAAAAAGCCCCGAGCTCGTACTTTACAAACGCTTCTAAAGTACCCTTTCCGAAATTCAACCGAGTTAGTAGTAAATACTTAGGCTACAGAGTCACATTTATCTGTGTGTGTTGTATGAGGACGTTTGTGTGGGTGTGTCATATGCGTGTGTATGTGCATTTTCATAGACCAACCTCAAATGCCCTCCTCCGCTCTGACCCATATTTTGACCCAGGGTTATAGGGCTATCTGGCTAGTGAGCTCTCTGAAGCAATCCACCTATCTCTGCCTCCCTGGCACTGGGATTACAGATGTGTGTGGGGGGGGGGGCACAGCTTTTTACATAGGCGCTGGGGATCCGAACTCATGTCCCCATAATTGTGCACTGTAGCCCTCCCTCCTTTTTTGATAGAGACTAAAACTTAATATGTAGAGTCAGTTTATTTTTGGTTTCTTTTTGTTTTGTTTTGTTTTTAGGTTTTACATGTTTATTTTATGTCTATAGGTGTTTGCATGGGTTTCTGTCTGTGCACCACATGCATGCTGTTCCCACAGAGGTCAGAAGAGGGAGCCAGAACCCTTGAAACTGGAGTTAAAGCCGGTTGTGACCCACTGTGTGGGCACTGGGAATTGGACCCAGGGTCTTCTGGAAGAGCAGCCAGTGTTCTTACCAGATAAGACATCTCTCCAGTCCCCCATAAGATATACTTTTTTATTTTTAAACAAGTCCTTGATTTTCAGTAGAATACAATGTGAGTGGGCAGCTTGTCCTTCACCTGGTGAAACAGGAAGGTTGGAGGGTCTTTGTCGGAGCTACATGAACAATGAGAAGAATTAAAGCAGATCCATGTTTCCCGTGAGATGGCACCTCATCCCCAGATCCTGACATCAGAAGCAGGTCTGGCAGGGTGGCCCTACTGTGGTCAGGCCCAGCCAGGCCATCCCAGCTGGCTTTCCTAGTGATGAGAGGGATGCCTAGTGTTGTGCTTTCTAATGATTAGGGGAGCAAAGCCTGAGTAGGGTCCAGAGCGGTGGCTCAGTGGGTAAAGGCACTTGTTGCCAAGCCTGGTGATCTGAGCTTGGTCCTTGGGAACCTATATGGGCAAGCACGTACACACGCAGGTACGCAGTCGTGCCCATGCACACATGCACACACATACACACACCTTGTGTAGGGTGGCTTTCCATCTCAGAGCATATCTTTCTGTTATAGAAACTGCTTTTGTTAAAAAACAAAACCTAAAACATTAACTCTCCACTTGGGTTTTCAAGGTAGCTAAGCATTAGTGGTATAGCCCAGTTGGTAGAATGCTTCTCTAACTTCGGTGAAGGACTGGGTTTAAGCCCAGGGTCACATTGAAAAACAGGTGTCATAAATCTTCAGAGTTAGCGGCTACCCTGTGATACACAAGACCAGTCTTTAAAAAAGGGTGGGGGGGGGGGAGAAGAAGCTAAAGGTAAGATGATTCAAGGCGATCTCTGCTTTCACTTAGTGTTTGCCACCTTTATTAGGATCACCTGCTTCCCTCCCTGGGTACAGATGTTAACGAGTATATATAAAAACCAGCGGTAAAGGGCCTGTCCTATCCTCTCTAAGGCTGAAGGCACAAAGATAAGAACAATGGAGGAACCTTACCTTAGCCTTTATAAAGACTGCTCCAGGCCCCAAAAGGCACCTCCAGTTGTCCTAAAACTTTCAGTCACTTTAGATCACAGGGACACTGACCCTGAAGGACAGATACCCTCAAACAGCTTGCAGAACCAGAGCTGATATCAGCAGCAGCCAGGGTGACTTAGTACAGACCCCTGCCCTGCCCCATTCTCCCGCCATTGTGTCAGCACTACAAAGTGAACTTGGGGCCACAGTGTGCAATGATCAAATCCCCTGTTTTTTACTAATACTAATTTCTTTAATTGGCATTTATAATGGTCACATCTAGTCAGTGGAGGCTGCCAGGGCCTATGCAAACTCTGGTTATTATGACAGGTTCTATTGGGCTTCGATCCTCAACCCTCAGCCACACCCTGGTCACTGCTGAACCCGCTTTTTTCAGAGTGGAACTTTCTGGGCCCTCTGCTCCCCTCTCTTCTACTCAGCTGATAATGATTTAGCCAGTCCTCTGAAGAGGCACTTATCCATCTTGTCCTGCCTTCAGAAGACACGGGTGGCTAAGTGTGCCTGTGTGTGAACTGTACTCAGGTCCTTGCAGCCCTTCAGGAGCAAGGACCAAGAACATCTCAACCACAAGATGGACTCTCAACATTCAGGTGTGTGTGTTCTCCAGGTTCAGGGGAGTGGCCATCCCTGGGGAGGGAGGGACATGAGTAGGATGTAAAAGGCTTTGGGCAGTTAGCTGTATGTTTCTCTCTCTCCCTCTCTCTCTCTCGCTCCCTCCCTCTCCCTTTCCCTTGTTCTTATGAGATTGGTCTCATGTAGCCCATATGTCCTTGAAGTCACTATGTAGCTGAGGATGACTTTGATCTTAATGGCCATCCATCTCCATCCCTGGAACCACAGGCCTAGCTTATGCGGTGCTGGGGATCAAGCCCAGGTGTCTCTGTGCTAGGAAAGCCCACTGAGCTTCATTTTAGCCTTTTTTGGTTTTCTTTCTTCCTTTCTTCCCCTGCCCTTACCCCCTTTACACTCAGTCTCACCATATTATTGACCAAATTGGTTTAGAACTGTCCTCTGATGAGTGCTGAGATTATGTGTCCTTTAAAGGAATAGAAGAAAAAGGCTCTAACTTTGGTATGTATGAAACATATGATGTATTTATATTTCTTTCCATCTGAAAGTTTGTACAGAACAGGAATTGCATACTTGTTTTGTTTTGAGACAGGGTCTCTCAGCATACCCTGGCTGCCCTGGAACTCACTATATATGTAAACCAGGCTGCTCTTGAACTCAGAGAGATCTACCCACCTCTGCTTCCTGTGTGCTAGGATTAAAGGTGAATTTTCACTTTATTTAAAACTAAACTTTTCACTTGTTAAGACAGGGTCAGTACTGTGCAGTTTAGAGTAGCCTAGAGTTTGTGGCAATAATCTTGCCTCAGTCCAAACCTGCTCACTTTTTAAAGGCATAGGGCTGAAGGCAGAGCTCAGTGCTGAGTGTGGGCTTAGTCTGGGTAGATACTGGGCTCAATCCCCACACCAGGGAGGGGGTGTGGAAATATTCAAGCTTACACAAGATTAAATGTATCAAATAAATCTGGGGCTATGTGTAGTTCAGCGGTAGTGTGCCTGCTCAGCATTGGAGAGGCCTTCTGTCTCCAGCACCAAAAGAAAAGAGCGACGGAGTGAGGGACAGAGAGAGAGAGAGAGAGAATACCAATAAGGTCAAAAACACTTGGTGAAGGGAAGGAAGTCTTATGAGGGAGTATCCTGAAATGTTGTGAGGCAGCTTTTTATAAACACTTAAACACTTGCTGGAGGTACCCAAAATGATAACAGAGACCAGAGAGAGAAAAACAAAAGGATGTGCTGCCAGTTTGTGTCAAGGAAGAGGGAAACTTAGTTTCGGAATTGCTTCGGTCAGATCCTCCTTCTGCCACCTCCCAAGTTTGGGATTACAGGCAGATGCCACCAAGTCCAGGTTAACCTTTTCCTACAGTGTCTTCTCAAACGAAACACATGCAATTCCTTCGGCAAAGCCTGCCTTTCTCCTCCCTTCATCCCTTCACGTGTGCATCATCTACTACTGGACACCCACAGAGAGGCGCTGGTGGCTTGTGATGCAGTAAACCCGGCTGCCTTCAGAGTCTTTGTAGTGGTGCCTTGCACAGAAAGGTGCTCACCCTTCCTTGGTCTGCCTGCTCTCCATTCCCTTCTCTCTCCCTTCCCTTCTGTTCATCTCGTGCCTTTGGTGGCTCCCTTACAGCTGGGCTAAAAGAGCACGGACGTCCAAACAAAGCTGGGATGATTTTCCTCTCCAA